CCACCAAGACAATTTATAATCGTGGTTCCTTGGTCCCCCAGGTAAATCAATAATAAAAACCCACCAAATACACTTAGCACAATATCTAAGCAATTGCAAACCACTAATTAGTCTCTTCAGGTAACGTGAGTCTTAACCAGACAAAGGCAGAATTTAATAAAGGAATATTTATTATGAACAAAAATTAGTCACAGTGCATACAAAAATATAGATGACAATTAAAATTATTTACACCAACAACAGATAAAAAACAAAAGGGATAACATAAGATAAGTCCTAAACACTTATTCACTTAGGTTTTCAAAGTAAAACTTCTGTCCAGGGGGTCTCTGGCAAGGAAGATGGTGAGTTACTCAAAATTAGATTTTGGCCCCAAGCAAGTACAAGGCACACTTCAGTATCATAGAGATATACTCTGTTGATTACCACGCCTCACCCAGAGGTGGAGTTAAGGTGTATCTATAGAGACACTAAGTGACCACCCCCTTGTGTCCAGACCCACATCAATCAAAATGGAAACATTTTGTTCTATCTTCTCTTATGTACCTGTCACAGAAATAATAATTGCATCTGCGAATTTGTTATTATTTTTTCATTCCATAGATATTTCACACACATTACTTGCGACCATATATAGCAGACATCACAATCCCTTCCCCTATGGTTAAGTTATGCCAAACATGTTTGGGCTTGTTTAGAACATGGCGCTTGTCACATTCCAAATATAACAAAAATGAGGCTTAGTTATTCTGTGGGTAAATATTAATGTTTTTTTCTTTTGGATATGATACTGGAACAAGTCTAATGGCCATTAACATATCAAAGAAATTGACTCATCAAATAAGAAGTACAGGCCATATGGCTGAAGCCAGACATTCAGGCTTTTCAAGTGTAGAATCTCACACCTTGCAGAGCCTTTGATTAATCACACGATCCATCTTTCCCTTTTCACATTCCTATGCAATTTACATTACCCCTTCTGTCATCTGACCTCTGTGGGCGAGGTGTGTAAACCTTCTGACCTTCCATACAATTAAATTAACCCCTTTTGACATTGACAATACCACCTCTACCAGGCAGGTAGATCATCTATGCATTACACAAAGTACATTAAGGGACAATATTCTATAGTGCAATAATAAATTATGCACCCTTGCCGTGACACTGTGGATCTTGAGTACATTGAGCTATGTAGGGATGTCACTTCAGCATTTTTGTCACAATCCTTATTAATTCTTAATTCTATGTGCAGTGGGGCATGAAAGTGCTGCCTGGCATAATACAGAAATCATATCTTATCTGTATGCACTCTCACAGATTAAAGTTGAGAAATACATTGAGAAAATATATATTAGTTTATACTGGCAGCTAAGCAACGTCCTGGCCACCAGAAGACAACTTGCATCCACTGTACCAGGGTGGCTTTTATGAACATGTACCTGTCGCATATTATGAACCAGTAAAGGCAGGTCATTAAGGTCAATATGAAAGGACACATAGGGTGACATAAACACACAGAACAAATTCCAAAATGCCATTCTATCCATTGTTTATCCTCCATATCTGCGCCTCTGGATACTTTCGGGACTCCTCAGGTAAATCTTGGATGGGTTGATTTGTCTGCATATGGGTTAAAAGGAATTTCATATTTGTACATGTCTATGTGCTATCCCTTAGTTCAGGTCTTAAGTAGACATGTGCAATTCGTTTCCGGTCCGAATTTAAATTCTGACGAATTTCAGCAATTCGGACATTCGGATGCTTCCGAATTTCCAAAGTGCCAAATTTCCAAAGTACCAAACCGAACCCAATTGCCAAAGTGCCGAATTTCCGAAGTGCTGAAGTGCTTCGGATTTCTGAAAAGTGGCAAAACAGGAGAGGGAGGTAAAATGAAGGGAATGATGACAGGAATCTAACCCTAACCCTACCCCTAACTCTACCCCTTCTTTCCTCTACCCCTAGTAGGCTTAGGCTTAGGGGTAGGGTTAAGGGTAGGGTTAGGTTAAGGTAGAGGTAGGTTTCGGGTTAGGGATAGGGTTATGGGGTAGGGTTTGAGGTAAGGTTAAGACTAGGGGTAGGGTTATGGTTAATGGTAGGGTTAGGGGTAGGGTTAGGGTTATGGGGTAGGGTTAAGGTTATGGGGTATGGTTAGGGTTAAGGGTAAGGTTAGGGGTAGGGTTAGGGGTAGAGTTAGGGAATTGCCAAAGTCCCGAATTTCGGTAGTGCCGATTTGCCGAAGTCCCGAATTTTGGAAGTGCCGAAGTTCTGAATTGCTGAAGTCCAGAATTTCAGAAGTGCAGAACCAAATTTTTTGTCCATGCACATCCCTAATTTTAAGGGAGAACTCTAAGCACCATAACCTCTACAGCCAGCTGCAGTGTTTATACCAAGGTTTCCATGGCCCCATTCTACTGTTAAAGGGTTACTCAACCTTCAGGATCACTTTTACTTTTAGAAGTGGTCATGATGAAAGCATTCTGTAAGTGCAGTATATCTTCATTTTTGTGCCAGGGTCTAGTTGCACACCCAGCACACATGATTTTAGCAGCCTGGAATGCTGCTCAGGAAAGTCTCATGTTAGCTCTGTGCAAAAAGCACTGTGTATTGGCGATAGATGCAATGAGATACTTGTAGGCAGTGCTTTGAGTGTGCCTGTAATATGAAGCCATTTGGACTGACTGTGCGCAACTTGTGTGCATATGCACTGAAGGTCCATAAACGCTTGTCTGAAAATTATTTGACACTGCTTTTGAGATTGATATGTGTGGGGAGTAAACTTGTGGATGGGGCTGTGTGTGGTAAGAGTTGCAGTGTTTGTGTGGAGGTACATAGCGGCTGTAGTGTGTGTGTGTTTGTATAGGGGGGGTTGTAGTGGATGTGGCAGGGTAGGGTTTGTAGTGTGTGGGAGAGAGGCTGTAGTATATATGTTTGTGTGGGATAGGCGCTGTAGTATGTGATGGGGATATTTGGGCTGTAGTGTTGGGTGTGCAGTGTGCTTGTTTATAGTGTTGTAACCACTGCTGGTTCCCCTATTTACCACTATGATGTCTTAAAGCATAGCATTTAGCAGGGCTAACAGATACAGATTTCTAACAGATACAATATATAGTTAGTAAGAGTTCCTCTATTTAAAATATATAAATAATTGAGAATACAATAAAACTTGGGGTTGTCTTGGAACCAATAAAATTTTGGATTTTAAAATATTTAATTAAATAAAAAATAAATTTAGACATATAAAAACGTAATAATCCGTTACAATAATTTATAGCAGAGTTTATAAAATGTACTTGCTTGCAATATCAATAACCTCTTGAGCCAGTCAACTTCTCAGTCATGACAGAATGGAGCAGCGTCTCTGCATCCAAAATTCTCTCCTATGTCTACCTAATATTAATAAGTACACATATTTATACCTTACAATTTTAATTTAGTCATGTTAGGACAAAGATACAAGGCCATGACTTAGTCATTTCACATGGGAAAATCTTATCTATGTTTGGAGTAAAACTTAAGGTCGGACATTACATGGGAAATTTCCTGACTTGGGGAATTCCACTAACCTAGGACAAGATGGCATCTTAATGTCTAAACACCATATTCATTTATTAAACAGACATTGTATGAAAAACAATATTTTCCATTTGTCAGTTTGCTAAATCTTTTAAAGAAAAAGTACACAGCTTAAGAAATAATTTTCATTCTAAAAACTTGTAATATCTGCATATGCCCATAACAATGTAGCAGGGAATAGGGACTGCAGTGTAGTGTATGAGTTGTAGATGTTTGTATGGCATGTTATAAAAAATAAATTAATAATTAATTAGTAAAGTTTATTCCCCCCTCCTTCTTGACTAACTTGGGACAGGTAGGAAGTTGATCCCTTGTGATTCAAAGTTCTAAGTATCTGGCATGTAGTATCTGGCGTACACTCTCGCACATACACTACGCCATATACAGTCACACACATACAGACACGTGTACACAGTCACACAGAATTACGGGCACACAGTCACACACACAACACACAGTCACATGCAATCAAACACCTGGCAATGATCACTCACAGTTACAGGCACATACGATCACCTACAAACCCATACACATAGTGGCAGGCATGCAGTCACACACCATACACATTCACAGGCGCACAGTTACAGGCACATACAGTCACACACTGTTACACTGCCCTCTCACCCGCTTCGTACACTACTGCTGCTGTGCACTCTCAGGCTGGCGTTGGTGAAGAATCAGAGCTTTGCCCTGGTAACCCGCAGCAATGCACTGACCTACCACAGTGTGCGAAACCCACGGTCTGCACCTGCTGAAAGTGCAGACCACAAACTCCATCATAGGCCTCCCTATCAGCTCACCAGGCCAGTACGCTGGTTTAAAAGACAGCCGGTGTCTGACGCTAGCGGGACGCCAATAAGACTTGCACACAGCGGAGCTGCACTTCCCTGCCCTTTGTTCCTAGCCAGTAAATTGTGTCCAAACACAGGTAGAATGGATATTACTAATGCCGGAGTAGGAACTTCTCATATCTGATATCTGAGATAAACAGACTGCGTGCGCCAAGGTGTAAAACCATTCATAAACAGCCAGACTCATAACAGGGGAATTCAGGCACCATAACCACTACAGCACGCTTTAGAGGTTACAGTGCTTAGAATGACCTTTTAAGTTTTAAAATATTTAGTATTTAATTTGGCTTTTTGGCTAATGAATAATGAAAACGTGTCTAATTACTCCAGCTGGATCCTGACTTGGCTGGCTGAGCCTCATAGGAAGTCAGTCCATTTTTAGCAGGCGACCCAAAACAAGTAGTGGAGCCCCCCAGAGAGGTTGCTGGCTATAGTAATAAATGAGATGAATCCCGTAACCAGGGCGCCATTATACAAAGTGAACCATTATTCCCCCCCTCCCCCCCCGTGCGAGCGCAGCGGGAGTCCTGATCACGTGACGCCGGGGCCGAGCTGCGCAGGCGCACAGCGTTTGGTCTCCATGGCAACCAGTGGTCACTGCATGGGGGATGTCAACAAAAGCTTGCGCAGCACCGGCGCGAGACTCCGTTTGAATGGAATAACCGTCCGCAGGTCAGTCAGTCAGTCAGTCAGTCAGTCAGACGAGGGAGCTCTGACAGGCTGTACCCAGGGTGAGGGTTCCTGTCACAAGCTCTGTACCCAGGGTACCCAGCCATGGCATGTCGGTGACTTCTGAGGGGCCATTAACCCTTTAACTTCCATAAAGTGAGATTAATGGGCTATTATGGGATATTATATCCCACCCTGCCCTGCCTGGCTTTATTGTGTCCCAGCTGCGGGACAAGGAAAGTGGTCTAGTCACTTTAGTTTCAGTAAACTCTTTAATTGTAGGGAATTAAAGGGACACTCTAGGCACCACTACCACTGTAGCTCATTGAAGTGGTCTGGGTGCAATGTCCTATGTCCATTAACCCTGCAGTGGTAATTCTGCTATAATTATCTTGTAGGGTTAACTCCTCCTCCTGTTACCAGACAGCCACTAGAGCAGGGGTTCTCAACGTTAGTCCTCAGGACCCCCTACCACTCCAGGGTTTAGGGATTACCTGGGTGTGTCTCAGGTGTTTAGAAAAAGAAAAAAAAAAACACCTTAGAGTCTAAGGTGTTTTTTCCCCTTTTTCTAAACACCTGAGACACACCCAGGTAATCCCCAAATCCTGGAGTGGTAGGGGGTCCTGAGGACTGGGTTGAGAACCCCTGCACTAGAGGGACTAACGGCTGCTTAAACGACTTTTGGTCGTTGAAATGACGCTGGACGTTCTCTATCGCTATACAGAAGGACTTCCAGTGTCACTGGCATCCCCATAGGAAAGCATTGATTAAAGGACCACTATAGTGCCAGGAAAACAAACTCGTTTTCCTAGCACTATAGTGCCCTGAGTGTGCCCCCAACCTCAGGTTCCCCCCCCCGCCGTGCAGAAGGGGTTAAATTTACCTCTTTTGCCAGCTACGGACGGGGGACTCTCCTCCTTGTCGTCGTCATCGGCTGAATGCGCTTGCGCGGTACGAGCCACGTGCGCATTCAGCCAGTCCATAGGAAAGCATACTCAATGCTTTCCTATGGACGCTGGCGTCTTCTCACTGTGAAAATCACAGTGAGAAGCGCCTCTAGCGGCTGTCAATGAGACAGCCACTAGAGGCTGGATTAACCCTATTATAAACATAGTAGTTTCTCTGAAACTGCTATGTTTATAGAAGAAAGGGTTAATCCTAGCTGGACCTGGCACCGAGACCACTTCATTAAGCTGAAGTGATCTGGGTGCCTATAGTGGTCCTTTAATGCTTTCCGGTGGGGAAATCCTAATGCGAGTGCGGCCATTGCCACACATGCGCATTAGGTTTCCCCCGCTGACTGACGGCGGGGGAGGAGCATGGGCAGAGCCTGACCCAGAGCCGAGGGACATCAGCGCTGGATTAAGTTAAGTGACTGAAGGGGTTTTAACTTTAAAATAGACAAGCTGTGACTGTAGTTAAGTTAGAGAATATTTCCTAATTGGCTCTTTATTCCCCAATTTTGCCATTCAGATTTCTATTTGGCATAATTTGGACTTTAGTGAAAGCTCCTCTCTACTTGTAGGGTTATTCACTAAGGTCTGCCCTGAACCGAAGTGCCCGAATCATTTGGCTGCAGACGGAGCCATTCAGCCTGCAACATCTGGACATTGGGGATGGAATTCATTAACATCCAGATTTGTAATTCAGACGCTGAACGGGCCCGAAACTGGTTTAGATTTCAGCCTTGCGAAACTGCACCAGATGGCTGAAATCTTGTCCAACTGCGGCAAGTTCAGGTTCGGAGATTTAAAAAAAGTTAAAAACCCTCATCAGAGTGAGGGTTAATTATGTGGTAGCTAGCCAACACTTGCTAGCCCACCACCATATTAAAATAGGAAAATGTTCTAATTAAATTAAAATCCTATAGGGTAAGATGGCACCTGGGACCTCCTTGTACCATAACAACTTTATTGCAACGTGTCCATTTAACCAAATAATAGCAAATTAAAGCCTGCATGTGAGGCTAAAAGAGCTGTTCTGGAAACATTATCCAACTTGGCTATATTTACAGCCTGGCTATCTTAGCTCACAGTTTTCCATTTGGATTCCAGTTCTGTGACATCTTGGTGAAATGGCAACTCGTTTGTAACTGATTCCATAAAAAAACAAAAAAAAAACTCTTGGGCAAGGATTACTGCACATTTTTATGCCTAATTATGTTTTATGCTGTCATTTCTTTCCTTTATGATCCTATGAAGAATACCAGTATTTTATTCCTTAAAAATAATTATTAATAGTTTATTCATGTTAAAACATGAGCACAGACATATTTCACAACATCGAGTGAATATGTTATGCATTTATAAGGAAAGCTCAGTGTGACCAATCTTTTTATCCTTTTTTTATATTTCACAAATTACCAGGACAAAGATGATCAGGAAAGCTATAGTTATAATATAATTAGTCATTACTGTGGTTCTGTGCCTCAATTATGGTACGTCTAACAGTGGATCTAATTGCGAAAAGCAGCCATCACGTCAAAAATCGCAAGGATGAAACAAATTCTCAATACTTAAAGAAAATAACTCACCTGAATTTTTCCAATAAAAACATTGATTACATTGTAAGTATCATTGATGTGTATGTTAATCTGAACTATTAATTGACGTTTTTTCTTCTTTTTTTGTCCTGCTGCTCTATCAGTATATATACAAAATGAAAATTAAATTTATCACACATGACAGTTCATAAAAATGTCTTAATTGTATGTGGTTTTTTTTTAAAGTACGAATTTGTTAATTATTGAATACAGCAAACATAGGAACTCTCTGAGGTACATATTGGTATATCTTTGGAATCTAAAACTGCAATAATTATTTTATAATAATTAATAAATAAACAATTGACACTATTTTGTCTTGCTATTTCTTTAACCAAATTCTGGGCACCTTTTCTTTTTCAGTGTCCTCTTTTTTTTTTTCTGTCAGCGTACATCATTGATTATTTACTACATTGCATTGTTGAACACTTGAGACATTTAGAGGTCTCATGATATATTTAGTTTAGTGGTTTCCTTGCTCTCACATGTTCGTTTTTTTTTGTTTTTTTTCTCCCATGACATTTTAACTGTCATGTTTCTAACAAAATAAAAATAAAATGCTATAGCTTCTAATTGACATGTTCACCTTGGCTTGCCCACTTCTTTCATTAGAGGTGTTGCTGTTAAATCTGCAGATGTACAAATTACTGGGACATGGGACCTTGTAGAGATAATATTTTATATTTTAACACTGACGACATGTTCAAGGCATCTAAAAAGGCACTCTAACCAGCATTGCCAATACAGTGGTCGTAGTGGATATGGTGCAGTTCCTTTAATTGCACTCACACTGTTTTTGATTGAGGCTGAACATGTGATGAAACCTCAGCCACCAAGATAATGTGGAACGTTCAAATTCTCATTATCTGTCCAAATTTGGATGGCAACGAAAAGCTTCTAGCAAGTTAATTTACCTTCAGTGATCATACCCTATTGTTACTGTCCATTTTTTTAATGGATAATTTGGAAATGAAATTTGTGTATTATTTGAACAGCAGAAGTGGAGGTGTACTTTCAGTGCTAGAGGAGCTTCGTTCAATAGATTATTGGGGTTATCGTGCTTATAGTTTCCCTTTAAAAAGGTGCATTTTTCTTTTGATAGTTATAGATATGCCTTCTGAAAGATCATCTCACATCTAATTCCACTTAGTCATACCCTTTCCCTTATCCTCTTTCTCCCATAATTAAAAACATTAAATTAAGGTAAACTTACTCCCACGTATCAGTCCAATTTCAAATGAAAAGGCAATGTTGCTAATATGACCTTATCCTCTTAAGAAAAAAAAGTGGTTTTTTTTTTTCTTCTATTGTGTTTTACCATGGTAGAACATTCAGGCTTTCAAAAAATTTACACTGAAAATCCTGTACGTCTGATGGTACCAATAAGTGATTGATCTGAATGGTCATTTTTATCGGTCTTTCTGTATCCAAGGTTAGCTAACATACTTTAGTCAATTTTTGTTGGCTTATTATTCAAACACTGAACATTGCAAAATAAACTGCAAAATGTAGCCAAAAAGAACTGATTTGAAATTTCTCCAACCCAGCTAAAATGTGGCTGTTTTAGTCTGTATTTTGTAATTTATTTTTCAGCTCACCATAGTTAACTGTTTAGTAAATAATCACTTCTGTACTTACTGTTTCATTGTATATTTTCTAAAATTAAGAAATCCAATACAAACTGGCTTAGAAAGAAGAAAACAAATCATCAATACTTGAACAGTTAATGTTCCCAATTGCTAATTTTTCCCTATTTTTTCCTAGGATGACTTGTCTGCGTGCAGAAATCTTACCGTTTTATATCTTTATGATAATCAGATTGATCACATAAGAAATTTGGGTTTTGCATCAAATATGACACATTTGTACCTGCAGAATAACTGTATTTCCTGCATAGAAAACCTCAGTGGATTGAAAAGACTTGAGAAACTGTAAGTACAGTTGTGGATTGGTGTATTTTTTTTTTTTTTTTGTAATTTGTTTTTATGCAATAGAACTCTGTCATGACAGACAGTGTACCCTTTTGTAGCATTGCTAATTTCATCATACTTTATGCTAATAAAGCAACTAACTACTTTGTTTGCCCGTTGGAGCAGTTCCTTGTCTTGCTTTGTCCTTATTTCTGTAAATGTCTCAGATGTCTACAGATAATGGTTCTCAGTGACTATTCATATAGTCAGTCACTGCATGCATTTTCTGGGCATATTATTTATGGACAGACACTGCTCACAGCAGTTTACACTGGACATCTTGTAGGAGATGTATATATGAACACTTTTTTTTTTTTTTAATCGTTACATATTTCTTTTCCCCAAGTAACACTCTGTAAGTAGTAAGCCTCTATGAACTAACAGCAACAGCAAAAGTTTGAAGAACTTGTGTCTCGGTTTTACTGCTGTGTATGATCATAGAGGCTCACTATTAGCTTCTCTATTTGTGAACATTTTATTTCCTTGATAATATAATTGTTCTTGATATTAACACAGTAACATTTTTAATTTTGAAAGATATCTTGGTGGCAATTACATCACAGTTATTGAGGGGTTAGAAGACGTTAAAGAACTGAAAGAACTGCATGTTGAAAATCAGCACCTTCCACCTGGAGAAAAGCTCCTCTTTGATCCAAGAACTCTAAATTCATTAAGTGTAAGGAATCAAAAATGTCATACATTTCCCATGATACACTGCAAGTAGGTGGCATGAGTATTGCAGATTACTAATTTGATAGTTTGTTCAGTAATATGGATGATTATCGTTTAAACCCTATCCTTGATAAACTGTTGTTTCACATCTGCCCGGTACTGCTAACGTGTTCTCTGACTGTGGCAGATCATATTGATTAGACTAGAATCCCATCATGCTGGCTGTCCAGCGGTTATTCTTTATTTTTATCAAATGTAAGTACATTAAAGGACAAAAGTTATACTGCAATATTTCTAATTGATCTTCAGAATGTTTATGTATTTAAAGGAAGGCACACTTAGGAGAGATCTAGACTACACACTTTTAGTGTAAATTTCATATTGTAAACATAATAAAAATGCCTTTTACTGTGAAGTTTCTATGAACTTCACCCTCCTGCAGTCTTCAATACTCACAGTGCAAGAAATTGTATGAGTACATTCTAATGAAATTATTTAGGAACTGTAGGCTCATAAAGGTGATTCCCGTGAGCTGAGGTATATTATTCTCTGCTCTCAGCTGGATTACCGACTTATTCATTTATACGTAGAGTAGGCAAGTTAATTAACAGAACTTTGGGGGTAGACTTTTTGCTAAATGGATGGGAATGTGAGGCGATGTATGTTCTCCAAATGGTGTTAGCATGTACTGTCAATGGAAGGATTATGATATGCTTTATAGATGTATTTCTCATCTACGGGTTAAAAAAAAATCTTTTTTCCACTTACCCAATTCCAGTGTCGATGTCAATAAAGGCAGTCTTAACTCTTTAATGTAAACATTGCAGTTTTTCAAAAACTGCAGTGCTTTACATTGCAGGATTAAGAGAACAGGGACAGTACACTTAGACCACTTCAATGAGATGAAGTAATCTGGGTGCCTATAGTGTCCCTTGAAGGTTCATGTTTAGACATCGTGGAAGGGAGGAAAATAAATACTTGGAGTAGGATCCTTCTTCTGTGTTGTGTGGAATAAACAATGTAAAATGTCCCAAGCAAGGTGTGTATGAAAGGACATTAAAGCAACAGTAACTTTCTTTTTACATAAGAAACAAGTTTCTGAACAAGATTACCGGATATCACTAAATATATATAATATTAAATTAGCATTGAAAGAATGATGGGGTAACCAGATATTTGGTGGTAGCTCACAAAGTTTAATGTAAATTTGGGCTTCCTGCAAGCAGTACAGGTCATACATTCTAGGAATTCAACATGTGAATTTGAACAATACCAGGCCCACATCACGACCGAATTTACAGCAATGTTAGCCAGTAATTAGATGCACCAGTTGCAGAACTAAAATGATGCTTTGCCACTCTAATGACTAATAAAATAACTTGGAAGTTGTATTATTGTGTGAACTGGGGTTCTATCTTTGTGACACCCCTGTTTAACAAATTGTCCTAGATGACTGTGCATCATTGTTTTACTTTTTATATTTCTGTTTTCTACAGAAATCTCTTTGTGTTTTGAATGTCAGTAACAACAATCTTGATGATCTGAAAGAGCTAGAAATCCTTGAAAATATAATCCAGTTTATAGCTACAGACAATCAAATTCAAGAAATGAAGGTAATTTCTGCAATTTCACAAACAGTCGATAACCTATTTCTCCATATTTATAATGTGTTCTTATCAATGTCTTCCTTCATAGATGTATTTTGCATTGCTTTTATGTTATAAATTAGATATGATGAATAGGATTTTCAGGATAAAGTATTTATCCTGCTTGGTACTTTATTTGTTCTTGGGAGTTTCAAAACACTGCATAGTAAAGTAGTAAATGATTGTTCGGCAACTCCATTCAACCTTTGACAAAGACTGTTTGGATAAAAACATTGACAAGTCAGACTTGGCTGAATAAAAAACACTGAAATGGATTGGAGGAACTCATTTATTTTTCTGGAGACAGAACCATGTTTCCAGCTCCAAATGAAGTGAGTGCCTTTCCTTTGTTCTTATGTTATATATCACTGGGATTGCAGAAACAGAACTCCACTAGGGAGTAAAAAAAAGTGGGACGTGGGCAACAAAGAACTCTCCTAATAACCAACAGGGTCCTGCCAATCATGCTCTGTGATACTGCATCCTGAATGCAGATGGTTGTTGGGTTCAGGTACTTAGCAGGAATTTGCAGTAGCCCATTCTGCTTTAACCAAGTCATGTGCTAGCCAGAATGTAAGTGGTAAGAATATATTATTGTAATTGTTATACCCCTCACAACCTATTTGCAAGATTTAGTTATACTTATGTACATGCATACCCATTTATGTCTTACAGGACCTAGTTGGACATACTTAAATACATACCCATTTATAGCATGCTTTATATTGCACCTGAGAGCAATTACGATGAGCATTGAATTGGGACACAGAGGAAAATTCAGTCTTTTGTCACAGTTATTCTTCATTAATCAGGCAAATAAATAAGTTGTAAATAAAAGTTTAAACAGTCAGTACTTAATATTGATTCATAGTTTAAGGATAATTATGAATCTGAAATGAAGACAGCTTTATCTTCATCATGACTTTAATGTATTCAACCTCTGCCCACTATTGATTATTGGAAAAGCATACTCAAAAAGACAGATTCGTGTTTTCCCTCCCTTAGGCAAGCACCAGTGTTCAAAATATAGATTTTTTTTCCCACAGAGATTATGACAAGCAGTCAAACGGATGACAAATTGCTGTCTGAAGTCACAACTAAAGATCTGAACTAAATATTTCCAATAAAAAAATGATACCTCACTGTTTAAATACAAGTTCATAAATGGCCAATGTTAATCAAGGAGAAGGCTATTGCCAGTGTTACATCCCTTGTGTATGGCTTTTGATTTACTCTTCAGAATTTCTAGAGAACTTCTAAGTGATGATCTGACATGATCATTTATCAAGTAGAGTATGCTTTAAAATGAAGAGACTTGGTCCCTCTAGTAATTGTTATTAAAAGGCTGAAAAGTGAGAGCACTTTATTAGAGACAGGAAGGCAGTAAAGAACTACAGCGTATCCAAAGAGGTAATCATATTTCAGCATAGGATTAGAGCATTCTAACATAAACATACACTGGGACCGGACTGTTATGGGTCATTTATCAACTGAGTAGCAGTTAGCAAAAAAATGCTTGAGTGCAGTAATATATTTATCAAAGGCGAGTGCTACAAATTGTGCGTTTCTTTGTAATGTATCATTTTCTCATTTCTCTGATGATCATTATAAATCTAAAAATCCACAAAAATAAACACTACTACCTCAAATATTTTGTATGCATACTAGAATACCAAGATCGTGTAACTGTAATATAGGCTTTTGATTTTTTTTTTTCATACCGGTTATACTTCTTTTTAATAATTATTGATTGTATTTTTATTTCCTTTTTTAGGTATAACATTTCACAGCTCATTGAAGTGGTCTGGGTGCTGTGTCCCTTTTGCACTTGGGACATAGTTAAATAAGATATAAAAGTATGGACTTAACTAGATGTTCAGATCTTGAACATGACTTTGGAATTTGAGTTTCAGGACTATCCCATTTGTAGCTAGATTTGCATTCAGTCTCCTAATCTTCTAATACTGTGTATACCTGGTCTACAAAACAATATTTACCTTCTTTATTCCAGCTTAGTTTAACTTCCCTTTCAGCACTTACCTTCATCCAGCAGGGAAATTACTTTTTCTAACACAGCTCCAACCAGTCCCTCTACTTGATGCAGAAGTAGTTGAAATACCAGTATGCCTAGTAGGACATGTTGCAGTTTATTTATTTCTGAGTCTACACTAATATTTAAGGCCAATGTAATCTCTACAATCTTTTACCCATCATTAGTTCTGTAAAGGCTGAAAAAATTCAGCATAAAATGTGTTACTTTTCATAATTACATTTTGGTATCTCTGAGCAGCAGTTTATATACAACATATTTTACTTGTTATCAGTCGATGTACTCAGTGGTGTATCCTGGTTTTGTGCTGCCCTAGGCATGCCAAAACTCTGATGCCTCCCCCCTCTCGCGCCACCCCCTGCCACACCCCCTTCTCTGCCTTCTAAATACACACACATTCACTGACAGACACACATACACTAGCTAACAGACATACACGTTCACTAACAGACGCATACACTCTCACTAATAGACACACACAAACTAACAGACACACATAGTAACACACTCCCTAACAGACACACTCCCTGACATACACTCACTAACACACACACACTAACAGACACACACTAACAGACACACACTCACTAATACACACACACACACACACGCAAACATTAATACACTCACTTTTTCTTTTAAAAATTCAACCCCCCCAGCCTCCTTACCTTTGGGAATGCTGGGGGGGGGGGTTTCTTCCTCTCCCTGGGGGTCCAGTGGCTGCTGGGCGGGCGGCGCTGGCGAGGGAGCACTTTCCCCTGAGCTGTCTCAGCTCCCTCGCGCGCCGCCCACAGAGTGATGCTGGGAGCCGGACTATGGAGCTGTCTGCTCAGCTCCCTCACACGCCGCACGCAGTGTGATGCTGGGAGACGGAATATGACGTCACACAAAGGAGCTGAGAAGAGAGCTCAGGGGAAAGTGCTCCCTCGCCAGCGCCGCCCGCACAGATTTTTACTTAGCTGCACGCCTGCCTGGACTGTTAGTTGCAAGGCTAATAAGACATTTGCCCTGGGCATTTGGGGGCGGCTTTTTTTGCCGCCCAAGGCAAATGCCTTGTTAGCCTCGCAGCTAATACGTCCCTGGATGTACTACATATTTGTCCCAGGTTTCAAATAAATTTTATACTATTTTCGGATGCACTTGTCCATAACTGTATGGGGCATTTACTTGTATTACATTAAGACCTTGGCAGATTTGACTGTATCTCCTAATACCAGTTTTGTTATTTTACCACTTGACGATCACGTTGATTAAATAATAAATAAATAAATGTAATCCTAGAGAGTTATTTGTGAATGATCTAAAATTGACCATCGGTACTGCAAAGTTTAAGCAAAAATATCAAAGCTTTGATTGGGCCATTTAATTATTGTGATATTTGTTTTGAGTTGCACCCTCAGCCTTCCCTTCTGATAACGGCAAGATATTTTATTGGTACAGGTAGCTTTAGCCATAAACATCTAAATGCCTGCATAATATTTATTTAATCTCTGAAGATATATCACTGCATGGCATAATTTCCAGTAGATATAAAGGCCTGATGTAGTTATTTTTTGGCATTTACTAGAGTGCTTTAGAGCACTGCGTTCATGGTATCTCAGGTTAGATGACAGGCATTGCTGCATGTCTGGAAGGTGTGCATGTCATTGTTATATTCGCATACTCACTGTTGATATATCCAACTTCACAAGAGTGTTCTAGTCAACTTCTTTAATTGCATCCTTTCATCCCGTTGCAATTATAGTATAATGTACAGGGTGTGCCAAAATTCAGAGTAGAATTTAACAGGTAAGTAACTTTGTTAGTAGTTCAAATTTTTTTCGTTGCAGGTACATATTATAACTGGGTCTGGGTAGATTCAATATGGGTAATTTCATAAAGGAACAACGAGACAAAATCATGATGATTAATAAGTCCCACTCACATGTTCAAAAACATGTAGTGTCCACTTCCCAGTAAATCAGCTCACCCAGCACTACACCGTTATCATACAGCACAGTATAAATTATTGTTTCCTTATTTATTGTATAAATATTGCACCATGGTCTGTTTTTATGCTTAAAGGGATCTGTTTTCCTAACACTATAGGGTTATTAGGGCCCCTCTCCCTTGCGACCCCCTCCCGCACAGTTGAAGAGGTTAAAACCCCTTCAGCCACTTACCTTTATCCAGCGCCGATGTCCCTCAGCACTGGGTCAGGCTCCGCCCACGCTCCTCCCCCGCCAGACAGTAGGGGAGACCTAATGCGCATGCACGGCAATGGCCGCACACGCGCGCATTAGAATTCCCTATAGGAAAGCATTATTAATGGCTTTACTATGGGGAAAATCTGACATTGGAGGTCCATAAGGACGTCCAGCGTCAGATAACCGACCAAAGGTCGGTTTGGATTCCGGAAGCCCTCTAGTGGCTGTCTGGTAGACAGCCACAGAGGGCAGACTTAGAGCTGCACTGTAAACATTGCTGCACCAAGTGCAAATGTTTACACTTCAATGAGCTGAAGTGGTCTGGGTGCCTACAGTGTCCATTTAACTTTTTAGGAGTGCTATTTTTTACAGAAATGTGGCAATATTTTACTTTTAGACAATTATTAATAATTTTATTATTATTATTGGAGTGGTTGTGTATTCTCAACGATTTTTATGTTTTAAAAAAAATATATATAATGGCACTATAAAATGAATTCATCTTGAACAGCATATACAGGCTTTTATATGAGACATATTAATATGCTAGATGTTTGTGGTGTGGAAATGATCCATACATTCACAGAACTGTTGGTATTTTGTGGTGGTTTAAATGGTTTTAACGTTTATTTTAGTTATGCTGGCACAGTGGATTTATTTCGAGATTTTTTTTTTTTTATAATAAGCATGTTTTTTTTAATTTATACAAATCTACATTCGGTTTTTGCTTTTGTTTTTTCAGGACCTGGAATTTTTGAGCAAATGGTCAAAGCTTTGGAAAATGGATCTTCTTAGAAATCCAGTTTGCCAGAAGCCAAAATACAGAGATGAAGTTATCGTTCTTTCACAGAATTTGGGTAAATGTACTTTTCAATTTATTGTTAATGCAAAACGTTTACTGCAATTCAGTGGGAAATCAGTTGAGTGGAGTGAAAAAAAATATATTCTGAAAAAGTAAAAATGGGGTTTATGAAACTGTAACTGTTTAAAAATATAACTTGAGGTAGACAATCTTTAAAACCCAGTGTTATCCAAAATAGGTTTTAAAAATATTCCCACACGTGGGCAGTTTTAATAAGAAATTTACCTCTGTTACAACTTGCTATCAGATTAGAGTCAATAAGTATCTTTGAATTATTTTTCAACAGAAATACTTGATGGTAAAGAAATATCAGAGATGGGGAGATATTTCTTAACGAAATGGAAAGCATCACGAGATGCCAGGAGTAAAAGCCGCGAGGAAATCATGGCAAAACAACCAGTCTACCCACAATTATGTAAGTCACATAAGTAGTCATTCCAACTATACACAGAGAAATGTCATAAATACTATCTCTAGCAAAATCATTTTTAGTGAGACAACATTTATAATTCTGTTACATGCTACCAGGCAAAGAAGATGTAGTAAGTTAGACAAATGGCATTTAAATGTTCATTGAGATGTCTAAGATTGCAGGGTGGGAATCATTTCACAATTTCAATTATTTATATAGTGCCAACATATACCGCATATTGCACAATAATCTAAAATTATTGTTTGTGAAATGTAGGATGACGGTCTGTACAAGAAAGGCACTATGGGCAAAGAAAAAGAAATCCAAGTTCATTAACTGAGTGCTGTAGGACTCTAAACTGTCATTTGGAAATTGGGATACATACTTAGTGTTTGAACTTTAAAGGAACACTAACATGTATTGCTGACCCCATAGTGTTATAAACACCATCTACAATAAGCTGTAGTTGTTCTGGTGATTACAGGGTCCCTTTAAGTGGCAGCAAAAATTAAATCCTACTCCTATCAAACCAGTAGAATTAATAAGTTATATTTGGATGTCTTTTTTCATTACAAATTAAGTGTTTTTTGTTGGGGGGGTTTTGTGTACATTATAGTCAAAAATTGAAAAAATATAATAAAATCTATTCTTTACTGTTATATAGTTTTGGTCCTGATTTGTGAGTTGTACATATTTGAACACATATGACCAAAAAAAATAATCAAAGCACACATTTATGGTATTCTATTGGTCCTTAAGACATTACAATGTCACCTCACACCACAAACATTTATTCAGTGCTTTACTACAATGTCCAGAATCAACCATCAATCAAGCATGTTTACATTTTGCATTAAAACATTCCAAGTGTGTGGCTTTGGGGTTGTTTTGTTTCTTTTTTTAAGCTTTTTTTGTTTTACTGAGTAGAGGATAGACGTACAAGACAATTTTTACATGGGTATTGGTTTAAGCACACATATTGATAAGACATTCTGATCAATTTCTCTGTGCAAAAATTAAAAAAAATATGAACAGATTTGTATCATGATTTTAGCTTTATGAAGTAAAATTGCAAATGGACAATTAATTTGGCCTGATAACTATCCAGGGAAATAATCAATGTCTCTTATTATTGTTGTACCACAGATGGGTTTGAACATCATTCCTCCCTTGTTCCTCATGGATATCAGTTCTCAAAAACGATGGATAAAGAAAAAATGAAGTATATGATGTCACAAAATGGTTATAAGCAAAGTCACCTTCAAAGACCAGAGGGAAAAAGAAACATTAGTATTAGTGATCACATCCGGTAAGTTCTTTCTTTCTTTTTTTCTCTCTCAAGTTAGTTACTCTTTTTTTGCATCATGTTATTTTGATAAAGCTCAAACAATGATTGTGCATGGGATTTTTTTTTTTTTTTTTTGCTTGTTGCAAATTTTTGAAGGAAAAAAAACAAATAGATCAAGTTAAGGCAATTTCATCAAGCATGCATGTAAGCCATGGGGCAATGATCCACAGGAGGTCATCCACATAGGTAGTTCATAAACCCTTCAAAGGATATAGGATTTATCACAAGAGGCTTAGTTCACATTAGGTCTATACAATTTACTGGTCACATTTCTGTCAAGTTTAAAGAATTAAAGTACATGTGAAATACCTTTTCCTCGTCACACAACTAGACTTTCCAAAATATGTGTACATCTGCCTCAAACCTCCAAGTGTGTTGTCTTTTCTGCTATCCCAACTCGATCGCAGTAAAGCCAGTGACAGATCAAACTGATATTTAGCAGAACACCTTTTCATAGATACACTTGGCTAAGTGTAAATTAAACGGTATTCTGTTTAATCTGTCACCAATGTAGGCACTGCACCATTCTTGCATTGCCTTTTTATCAGTCAGATTTTGTCGTCCACATTTCTAGTTTGAGTATTTTAAAAACTAAATAGCCATTAGAGATGTGACACTTAGAGAGGGCAGTAACATGTTGAATGGCTGTACTATTCTTAGACATTGTGTGTTTCTAGATGTATAGTTATTAAAAAAGTAATAGATTGCTAGATCTGCTTAAATTCCTTAACTTGCCAGGACACCTAGATTTTATTTTGTTTAGATGGTACAGTAGCTATGATGGTAGAGCCCGGGATTCTTGGAAAACATAAATCATAGCGACAACATGAATAAAATGATCAAATAAGAGAATATCAATATATTCTAGCAGTAGGTTTTATAAAGATATATTGCTAGTCAATCACAATTTGCTACAAGTAAAAACACATTGATAAAGAATGTGTATATAGTACTGTGTGTGTTCACGTTATGAATAGCTTGTTTGTTGGAACCGCTAAATTTAGGTTTATTGCTCTAGCAGTATTTTTGCTGTATTAGCAACCATAAGTCTTGCTTTCTCAAATAAAAAAAAAAGTACAAAGTTTTTGCAGTAGTGCCCCTAAATACATAGACCGGGACCATGTCACGCTCAACTGGTTAAATTCAATATCTGAATGGGATTTAGTCCAAAGTCCTGCTTTCCTGAAGAATATATGCAAATATTATATTTTCTTTTATGGTCCTGAGTGAAAGGTGGAAGCAAATTTCAGCATAATTAGTTTTCTTTTGGCTGTTGTGAATATATCATCATATGACATGAAGTTGGAGTCTCTACTTTTGGCATATTGCAAGATTAAATGGTGTGTATATCCGCCCCTTCCTTTTTTTTTTTAGCTGTAATAAGGGCTTGTAGGACTTGGTAGCTCAATGATGACATCAGTGAAATCCTTCCACAGCTCCAAAAAGATGTGTTTATTTAGTCTGATGATAAATGAAAGCAATATTGTGTAAATGACAGGGAACTCTGGGAAAAAACTAACCACAAGTTGGATAAGGCAGTCAAAAGGACCTTTTTTCAGATTATTAGTGTTCACTTGTTAGTTTGCTTTTCTACAAAGAACAGACGTAATTAATGAGCCATACATTTTGTGTCCTTACTGGGGCTTTGATGAAAGATATGGAATTTAGACATCCTGATGGTACTTTTATTCTCCATCTTGCCCTGGGAAATACAGAACTTGAGCAATGAATATGGTTAACCATTTTAATGCATAATGTATATGTATTTATGAAGCAATGAACATACATCAAACTGTGTCCATATCTACTGTAATGGATGTGCCTATTTGTGCCTTAACCCTTTGGTACCACATTTCCCATGATAATCAGCCAACCATGTACTGTAGTTCACAACACCTGGGGAACTAGTACTTCGCTCCCACTATCATGATATATTAACCATTTCTGGAGTGGAATATGGGTTGTACAAAAGCCTTGTGGGCTGCACTGAGCATATGGCCTCTCAGTTGGAAAATCCTTCTTCAAGTATGCACAGTAAATAAATATTATACGAGTTATGAAATCTTAAATTATTGAACACAGGATTTATTGTTAGGGCTGGTCACACAAATAACCTGTATTTAGTAAGCCTCTCTCTTCTAGTGATATGCTGGTAGGGGACCTGGAGAGAGAATCATACTGCCACTGTCTCGGCAGCTCCCATGTCAGCATATCAGTAATAGGAGACAAAATAAAATAAGTTGTGGCAGCTGGAAATAGTAGATGCTGCCCAGGAGTGTAACTCCCATCTATCTGGGGCAGGCCAGAATCTGAATGTCTCATTCTTCCCTTGAGATTCGGGATGCATAACAATAATGCCATAGGGTGTTCTGGAAACACAGTTACCATGAAAATAAAGGTCATGTGACTTATGACTGTGACCAGAACACATATTTCTGTCATTACCCTATTATTCAGTATAACTTGTTGGAGACCCATAGACCAATCATAGTTATAAGCCAATGCTCTGCACCAAGTCCTTCCGCCAACATAAACCATTTTGTGGGTACTTGTAAGCTTTTTTCTAGCTGGAGTGGAATACATTGTGTGATATGCGTTGGCATTTAGTAACTGGAGTCATAAATCATAAAATTGGCAATAGTTTTAGCAGCTCACTGTTATTTAAATGAATACAGTGAATGAAGTAGATAAAGTGCTCTATGGGAGGAAAAAAACTTACTAAATGTACTTAACAAGAAACACTGTCAGCATTTATTCAACCTTCCTTAACGAGTCCTTACTATGATTCCAAGATGTGACCCAACATGACCATGGATTCCAGTATATGTAACAATATCTCTGCACACCACATGCAGCTTGTTTGCATACATACATGTAAAATATTTTTACATTAATCACAATACACCTTTCTGAAACATTTGGTTTCTTGGTATTAATTTTAAAAACTGTACATAAATATTTTCCCACAAGACTCCGTAAAGAGAAACACACAGTAGTAACATTTGGATTTAATACATGTATGCAAACTGACTTGGAGGCTTCCTGAAATTTGCTACCGTTTTAATATTTTAAAGAATTATTTTTGCATACATTACAATTGCGGTATGCATCACTGTTCAAGGTTTGCTTCTTCTCTCCAATTACACAATAATATATTCTGGTCTGTTTTTAAAATATGCTTGTGGAAATCATTTTTTTAAGAATCGCTATATAAATGCTTTAAAACAAAAACTGTTTGTGTCAAAAAGTTGTTTATTGCTCTTTATAAACAAATTACCCATGGATTAAAGGAAAACTCCAAGGAATTTATTCCAAGGATTTAGTAGATATAACTCCCCCTTCCTCCCAATAACCAAACAAACAAAAAAACAGGCATTTAATGTTTTTTTGAAAGGTTATGAAATAAATAGCTTATATTAGCTGTATTATGAGGTTCTGCAGGTATTGTAAACATTCACCTTTCTCTCTTCCGCAGACTTTAATGTTAGTGCTGGACATTGTCCAATCACAGGTTTCTCACTGAGAATCCCAGTTGGCAAATTGCGCATATGCTCGACTGGCCAATCATACAGTTGCATTACAATGTCCACCTGCATGATTGACAAGTTGTGTGTTAGTCTCCTCAATTCTCTGATTATGCCCAATTTCCTTCACTTCCACTTTCAACGATAGTTCTCAAAGCAAGCAAGGCAAGAAACCCTCCATCTGTGTGATTGACAGCCAGGAAGGTTTGACACAAGTGGTTTATAAAAGTGTTGATTTCTCTTGAGATCAGCACGTTTACAATATAGGACTGCAGGGACATTAACTCTAAATCATTTCAGCAAGCTTCTGTACTTTCAGTGCCTGGAGTGTCCCCTTTAAATGCATATCTTCTAATAGATAACATTATCACCAGGCGTGTGTTAACAGCCCCCCTAACATCATTGGAGGAGGCACCCTTTGAGCACATTTACATCTTCTATTCTGTGAGTGCAACGATTATTAGCACACATATACAACTTATAACAGTATGACACTATTTTTTTATTTTGTGTTCTCTTTTAGAATATACAGCTGTTTCCCATGTTTTGTTGTTTCTATCCATATTATCACCAACCTTATCAGTGTATATTGATACTGGCCACCACAGCACCAGTTTTATTACAGTCTAGTATCCAGAAAATAGTGGAGAACCAGGTCACAGGTTCTCATCAGTTTATTAAACTCCCATTCAATGCACACAAAGTGAGGAAAGAAGAATAGTGATTTCTGTGTCCTGCTTACTTATTGATAATACTGGGCTCCTTTTATAAAAATGTATATATACATGTTATTTCATAGTGTATGCTGGCAGCCCAAGTTGCCAGTAGAACCATTTGTGTACAAAAGTTGGCAGCTCAAGGATGGATTTATAAATACCTGCATCTTTCCAACTCCGATTTAAAGTGGCAAAGTCAATGATATTTTCTTTCTATAAAATAAAGTTTTAAAGAGAGATACAATTACAGTGCATATTTAATGATCGGTGAAATGTTTTAATAGAAATCTAAATAGATACGCAAAACATCGAGTCCATAGTTCTCTCTGATAAACAGTTATCTCCTTTGCAACACATATCAGTGACTAAAGACGTGGAAATCTTCACTTATTTGCACACGTTGTTTGTTCCCTTTAGTGTCTGGGCATAGATTCACCCTACACGTTTGTATCAATGTGGTTGATCAGGTAGTTACTGTTTGTGAAATTCCTTAGACTTCCGAAGTCTTGTTTTTGTTGCTCATCACACAGCATGCATAATCTTGGAGAGTTCCAGGTTACAGACCTGTCTGCAGAAGTCCAGATTACAGGTATATTTGCAAAGCTTCAGTGTACAACCAAATTTACAGAACTCGATGTAAATGGAATTGCTCTGCTTTGCAGAACTCCACAGCACAATCTGGTTTACAAAGCTTGATAATTTGCAGAGCCTGAAGTGTAAGTGTAACTTGTGTATGCTAAAGTATATTTGTTATTGTTAAACGTTTTTTAGAAAACAAATTGTAAACTGCAGCATATATGTATTAAATAAAAAAAAATTGAAAATATGAATTTTATAATGAAATGTCTAAAAACTAAGGAAAACACAAAACAGAAAGAAAACTGCTAGATTTTTTTTATAACCTTACACCCAGATGAGAGGCCACATTTGAGAAAAGGGGGAAATAATACTGAATTTTTGCTTGCCAAGACCTGCCTATAGATGGTTATGCTTGAAAAATGAATGCCCTGCACAAACCAAAGTATCTTGACATGTATTGTAAGAAAGATTAATTTGAGGCCATCAATGTACTTCTAATTTGTCAATGGCATTCAGCTTTTTTCTATTTATTGTTTCTGTTGCTGCTTTATAATTACATTTGTAAGGTTGCGGTTTGTTTTGTCATTGCAGACAATTAGCAGTAAAGTATCCTGAGAGTTCACTGCCTGGACAAGATGTACTTGAGCCCCACCTGCACAGAACCGTAGTGCCGTAAGAAAGAAGAGAAATTGGCTGTGCTATTTTTTTGGAATGCATGCAATAAGCCCAAACTGCTGGACTTCACACACCAATTTTACATGCAAGCTTTCTTTGTTAATATAGTTTATGGAATAAACATATTGGAACAAGTTTAGATTTAAGTCCTTTAGTTTCTGGAACAGGATTAAGGCTTTACCACAGTCCTCTAGTGTTTTAATGGTAATGTGTCATCTAATTGATATTTGGGACAGGTTTATAGAATATGACACCTCCACCCTCTAGGAGCAGAGCTTCATGGGAAATGTAGTCAACAATATATGAAATGGTTGCCTACGTCAACTGTAGAGCAAAGATCGTTCTATCCATTCTATCTAATGTAAAGATGAAGAGTAAAAAATAGAAAATAAAAAAAAAGCTTTTAAATAATATTCCTTGTTTGTAATATTTATATAGCCTCACATAGGGGTTTGTGCACTAAACACTAAATTGTAGTAAGTTGAAAACTCAATTGTTTTATCTGGTATTGCACCAACAAACTCTACAGTTTACAGTTCCCTAAGGAATAGAACATAGCAATATAGTCTTTACTACATGTATTTGGATTTATAATGGGATTAACTGAAGATATGTAAATGGTCCGATTCGACTGACTCAGAATGTGAATGCAGGAGGTGCTGGGGATGGACAGAGGTGTAGATAAAAAAAAATAAAAGACCAACGACAGTCAATTTAGCGGGGTTGGGAGGGAGCACATGAAGATAGAGAAGGAGCAGAGGTACAAGTTCCACTTGTTGAAGCTGATTAAATCTCTTGCCAACTCACAGTGCACGCTGATGACAGACATAATTTTGCGAGAATTAACATTAGGCAGTCTGGAACAGAGATGTAACTAAGCCCTGGCACAAAACTGCTAATATCTCTCTATGTCCACATACAGATTGCGTCCTCTTTGACCACCTCTAAAAGCAGAAGTAGAGGTGTAGGCTGGAGCAACCATTTAAAGGTGGCTTCTGTAGATTTATCATTTGGAATGTTTTTCTAGTATTGAATCACTTTGAAAGCTTATTAAATGGAGGCCTATATTTGTGGTATCTGATGGAGAAAATCTGTCTGATGGTGTGTTCTGAAGAAAGAAAACAAAAAATCTAAATGAAAGAATGGTTCGATGAATCAAAACTCATACCATATTTTATAAAAGAGAAGCAATTTCTTTGGTACAGACTTAATAAAAATTTTAAAATATATATATATATATATATACACACACATATACACACACACACACATATATATACTTCTTTAGATACCAAATATCATCCATTGAGCAGTACGTGATGTTCTTTAAAAGTGTCACTGACCATGAAATTAGTTTCTAAGTTATAAGCTCATTGTAAGCAGTGTTATTTTTCCTCTTGGCTATGAAAGTATGCATTGCATATTGTAACCACAGTTGTAGTGGTATAGTAAATATTTTTGTTCTTTTCTGAAGGGTGATTTCTTACATTTGAACAGAATGGCTCTCTTATTTTTTTATTTTTTTTATGTTTTAGAGATATTCATATTGTTTGGTTACTTTGCAGTATTAATCTTAACATTTGAATGGAAATAAAATTATTATCTTTAACTGGATTAAGCCTGAAGTGTGTTTTAATAGTAATCGTAATGAAGATATATAATTGATAGAACTCCAGCATTAGGTTATATGTAATGCTTGTTAGATCTGGTGCAATATCCCGGCGACCAACACTCTGGGACATGGAGTACAGGCTGGGGGAATGGAGGACAGGCATCCCGGCACAGTGAAGCTTCCAGGCAGCATCTGAGGCAGCCTTCTGTCCAACTTGGAGACGTCAGTGAATGGGAGATCTCTCCACCCTTAACTCTATGGTACTCAGAAGCCTTTGACTCAATCCCCCTTTCACTCACCTTCCACCAGCCGATGTGGGTTATCCTGGTACCCTACCTCTCATTGGCTCTAACACTCCAGGTATATACAGGGGGAGGTGCTGAGGCCAGTTGAAATTCTTGGTGCGCTTTACTTGTGCATCAATCTTCCTAAGATGGCGGACACCATGCGTTTACAAGACAAGTGCACAGTCCTCTACTGGAAAGGCTCTTTGCGGATTTCTGGATTAAACTTAAAAAAGTCTCTGGCTACTGCATCCTGTTACAAAGCAAAAGGTCTCTAACTTACCTCAACAGCCACTGCAGAGTGACCCATGTATATTGAATGGCCACTCCAGCCAGTGGGCTCCTGCTCAGTCCTACAAGCCAATAAGATACACACAATATTTCGAATTCAGCTATACATCTTTTAAGGGATAAAATGGAATGTATTGTGAAGTACAGCAAGACACAGTTAACTCTGTTTGACATCTTGGGGTGCTTCCCTGGTTAAGGCTGGAGAGCAATAACCTTCTTGACCTCCTTCCACCAATTTTATGGTCAAGAGCAGAGGGTGTTTGTTTGCTGTATGTTTTTAATTTATATTTGGAGTAGTCTGCTCAAAGGAACACTATAGAATTGGTAATATAAAGTGTATACCTAACACTATGTCCCTGTGGAAGGTTTAGGTGCTTCTGTCCTGCTTCCATCGTTGAGATCATCAAGATTGATGATCTCAGCCAATCCAATGCTTTTTCATAGAAAACCATTGGGAGGCTAATGTGCATGCATGACAAAATGCATCGCTCAGGCTTTGCATCACGCAATACAATTGCAGTAGTAGATAAGGCATGCACAATTTTATAACATGAACAAGATCAACATCGTTAAGTATGGACTTAAGACAGGCTATATAAACTGACTCATAATTAATCTTATTTGGTTACACATATGTTAAGCTGGGTCTTCTTGTCTAGCTAGCGGAGTGTGTCTAGTGTATTTTGTCCTGGGGGAGGCTGCGTAGGACAGGATAGAAGTAAATAATCAGGTCGGACGGTCGCATACAGGCCTCTAGCTTCTCCCAGAAGATGCTGAAAATTGTGGCAAGTTGGAGCTCTGTTTCCTGGCACTGCACGTGGCTGCGGTGTGGGAGGCCTCCGTCCAGTTTATAGACCTCACCAGGATCCTCAGGACGTCGTGTCACCTGTCGCTTGGTGGTTCTTGTGTGCCATTTCAGTGCTGTTTTGGCTTTTTTTGCCCTAAATAGCAGGAACAGTGGAGGCTAGCGTCCTCCAAGTACCGCAGTCAGGCCCCCGCTCCTCTGATGATTTTGAATGTTTGCCCACTGACAAAGAAATGATCAGTCTATAATTTTAATGGTAGGTGTATTTTAACAGTGAGAGACAGAAAAAAAAAATCCTGAAAAATGCATGTCAAAAAGTTACAAATTGATTTGCATGTCAATGAGTGAAATAAGTATTTGATCCCCTATTAATCAGCAAGATTTCTGGCTCCGAGGTGTCTTTTATACAGGTAACGAGCTGAGATTAGGAGCACTCTCTTAAAGGGAGTGCTCCTAATCTCAGTTCGTTACCTGTATAAAAGACACCTGTCCACAGAAGCAATCAATCAGATGCCAATCTCTCCACCATGGCCAAGACGAAAGAGTTGTCCACGGCTGTCAGGGACAAGATTGTAGACTTACACAAGGCTGGAATGGGCTACAAGACCATCGCCAAGCAGCTTGGTGAGAAGGTGACAACAGTTGGTGTGATTATTCACAAATGGAAGAAACACAAAATAACTGTCAGTCTCATTCGGTTTGGTGCTCCATGCAAGATCTCACCTTGTGGAGTTTCAATTATCATAAAAACAGTCAGGAATCAGCCCAGAACCTCACAGGAGGATCTTGTTAATGATCTCAAGGCAACTGGAACCATAGTCATCAAGAAAACAATTGGTAACACACTATGCCGTGAAGGACTGAAAGTGCCTGCAAGGTCCCCCTGTTCAAGAAAGCACATGTACAGGCCAGTCTGAAGTTTGCCAATGAATATCTGAATGATTCAGAGAAGTACTGGGTGAAAGTGTTGTGGTCAGATGAGACCAAAATCAAGCACTTTGGCATCAACTCAACTCGCCATGTTTAGAGTAGGAGAAATGCTGCCTATGACCCCAAGAACATCATCCCCACCGTCAAACATGGAGGTGAAAACAGGGAGTGTTTTTCTGCTGAGGGGACAGGACAACTGCACCGCATGAAAGGGACAATGGACGGGGCCATGTACTGTCAAATCTTGGGTGAGAACCTCCTTCCCTCAGCCAGGGCATTGAAAATGGGTCATGGATGGGTATTCCAGAATGACAATGACCCAAAACACACAGCCAAAACATCAAAGGAGTGGCTCAAGAAGAAGCCAGTCTCCAGACCTTAATCCCATAGGAAATCTGTGGAGGGAGCTAAAGGTTTTAGTTGCCAAATGTCAGCCTCGAAACCTTAAAAGACCACTATAGGCACCCAGACCACTTCAGCTTAATGAAGTGGTCTGGGTGCTAGGTCCATCTAGGTTTAACCCTTTTTGCTGTAAACATAGTTTCAGAGAAACTGCTATGTTTACCTATGGGTTAATCCAGCCTCTAGTGACTGTCTCATTGACAGCCGCTAGAGGCGCTTACGCGCTTCTCACTGTGATTTTCACAGTAAGAAGACGCCAGTGTCCATAGGAAAGCATTGAGAATGCTTTCCTATGAGACTGGCTGAATGCGCACGCAGCTCTTGCCGTGCATGCACATTCAGCCGATGACGGAAGAAGAGAGAGGAGAGTCCCAGCGCCGAGGGAGCCCAGCGCTGGAAAAGAGGTAAGGGATTAACCCCTTTCTCCCCCTTCAACGCCACGGGAGTGGGACCCTGATGGTGGGGGCGCCCTCAGGGCACTATAGTGCCAGGAAAACGAGTATGTTTTCCTGGCACTATAGTGGTCCTTTAATGACTGGAAGAGGATCTGCAAAGAGTAGTGGGCCAAAATCCCTCCTGAGATGTGTGCAAACCTGGTGGCAAACTACTGACCTCTGTGATTGCCAACAGGGGTTTTGCCAACAAGTACTAAGTCGAAGGGGTCAAATACTTATTTCACTCATTGACATGCAAATCAATTTATAACTTTTGTTGACATGCGTTTTTCTAGATTTGTTTTTGTTACTCTGTCTCTCACTGTTAAAATACACCTACCATTACAATTATAGACTGATCATTTCTTTGTCAGTGGGCAAACATTCAAAATCAGCAGGGGATCAAATACTTTTTTCCCCTCACTGTAGTTGGCTATCAGCAATATGATAATATGTGACATTGTGAGGTTGAGCAATTACGTTTGTGAAACAAGCCAGTTTATTAATACAGGCTACATTCCAAAGCATTGTTTAATCATATTTCCCAAAGCCCATTACATAAGCACAATTTTCCTATACAGACTGGATATTTAAATATCACTCAAATCTCTATACTACGTCTAACATTTTTCATGTGGCAATACCTTTACAGTTAAAAAGCATGTATTATTGGTGATGGCATGACTTACATGAATCTAAGCAGCCAAGAAAGGAACCAAGAAAAATATTTTATATATATATAGATTGCCAGGAACCTGCCCTCCAGAGTCCAGTATTAGTGATGCCCGGTTCTGGTCCACAAAATTAAATAGAGAAGTACGTAATGATAGCATTCCTTGCACTTCTTGTACAGTTTTAACATAAAACTTAATTTTTATTTTCTTTATAAATTAAATGTCAACGTTTCATTTTTTTTACACAAATTTTTCAAAAATGCCCTTTTGATTTAGAAATGCTAGAAAACCTTTTCTAGATACAGTAAACATGCCACTGTAACACACACTCATATGGAAGACATACAATAGAGATAATTCCTTACTCATCTGATTTATTCTTTAAATGGAATAATCTTCTCATCTCCTCTATTGTCACTGTACATATTATGTGTTTGTGGATATATGATATATAATCACATCTCCACTCAGATCTAGGCTGTGAGACTTAGAGGGACATGTTTTTATCATGGAAAATGTCAATCCCATTTACAGAGAATATAATCTAAACTGTCCAGTCAATTAGCAAATTATATATTTTACAGTTAATCTGATCCGGGATAATTCTGTGTTCTGTAAATATCAGTCCCTTTAAGTTTGCCAGTACACACTAAAAATCCAACATTTATTTAAGCTGTAATAAAGGAATACATAGACCCTGTGTTCATCATCCTACAATAATATAATAAATTCTGAATACACAAAGATGATACATTCAGATCCTGATTTATTGTTTATATATTTGTATTATGCAATTGACCTCCAGTATTTTCCATATATGTGCCGAAAAAAAGAGTGTTGATACCACTTGATACTTATTTACATTTCAAATGAAAGTGCTAAATAACATAATTAGATCTCATGAAATTCACACATTTTGCCTGTTTTACTGTTTTTATGCAAAATGTGCATAGCTATAGTTTGTAACAATAATGAACAGTACATATACATCCATTTGTGTTGTATTTTAGTACACTTTGCATGTACCTTCTGCTTCTGCTTTGCCTCTATGTTATTTAAAAATTATTT